ACAGAGAGGGGGCCCACCTCTTCTGATGGCAGAATTAATAGAGAGGAAGTTCCCTGAACCCTCATGAGAATGCCACGCCCACAAGGAGGTATCATCAGACTGTGAGACAGGCTAGACTCCACCGCTAGACTTAATTATCAAGTTGACATGAAATTATGTAGCTACCACACCTTTTTTCAGCAACATGAATGACTGTATACTCAAATCTCACCAGATGTAATACACAAGAATCAAACTGTGTGTAGAAAAAAACAACAATGGAAATCAATAATTACCAGTCAGACAAGACCAGGGTCAACTACAGAACACACCATCAATTGCTCATATGTGAGTTAAAGTTGAAGCTGAATAAAATTTTAAAAGTCTGTGAGACCCAGAGTACAAACTTGAGTATTTCCACTCATGTTAAAAAACCGTTTTAGGAATAGCTTTAATGTCACCAGGACCCCTGCAAAAAAAATAAAAATGTTCCAAGAACTGACAGAACACCAAATAAATTGTTTCAACAGATGAGGCGATGCTGGAAGCGCTCTCCCCTCCCTGCTAAGAAATTTGAAAGACCGCTACCAGCTGGAAGACGTCCATATGTGTGTCCAACCCAGAGAAAGGCAAATCAGTGCAATGTGGAACTTAACCAAAATATCCTTAATATCACCTGCAGATTAAATTTTTCTGAAGATATTTTTTGAAAAGCTTGTCAAATAATAGACAAATACATATGCCAGAAAATTCAGGCCAGATTTAAGGTATGAAATAAGGCATAATCATTGCTATTAGATGGATCTTGACTTAAAGCAAAGAATACCATAAGATGTTTACTTGTATTTTGTTGACTATGCAAAGGCATTTGACTGTATGGATGCATAGCAAAGAATGGGAATTCCAGAACACTTAATTATGCTCTCGTGAAGCCTGTACAAAGGACAAGAAGCAGTTACTTGAGCAGAATAAGGGAACATTACATTGTTTAAAATGTGGAAAGATGTGCATCAAATTTATATCTTTTCACCATTCTTATATGTACTGTATACTGGGTAAATAATCCTATAGCTTAACTATATAAAGAAGAACATAGAATCCGGAATCAAAGATGACTCATTAACAACCTGCAAAATACAAATGACACAATCTTGCTTGCTAAAATGAAGAAGATTGAAGCACTTACAGATGAAGATCAGAAAGTACAGCCTTCAGTATGGATTGCATCTCAGTGTAAGAAAGCAAAATTCCTTGAAACTAGGCCAGTAGGAAGCATAATAATAAATGAGAAAATTTTGAATTTATCAAGAATTTAATTTTGCAACACTCATCAAAGCAGAAGTCAAGAAATCAAACAGCATATTTCACTGGACAGATCTGCTCCACAAGACTTCTTTAAAGTATTAGAGAAAAGATATCACTTTGAAGGCTAAGGAGTGCCAAACCTAAGCCTTGGTTGTTGTTTTTTTTTTTCAGTCTCATCATGTGAAAGCTGGACAATAAAGAAGATCAAAGAACGATTAATGCATTTGAATTATGTTGTTGGCAAGAATATTAAATTGACTGTGAACTTCCAGAAAAACAAGCCTGTCTTGCAAAAAGTACAGTATGTTAGTCCAGGTTGACTAGAGAAACAAATCCGGCGACATGTGTAAGAAAGAGCATTATATCAAGAAGTAATTATATATCAAGAACACATC